GCAGCTTATAAACCTGCTTTACATGTTTTATTATAAAATAAACTATTAGGTTATGTATGACAAGGGGGGGAATGACCAGTTTGAATAAGCAGTTATTATAAATTAATTAAGCATAACTTGATTAATCTTTTTATTTCAATGTAGGTTTTTTTTTGTAATTTGCTAAAATTTTTCTTAATTTTTTTTCTACCATCACGTAATCTCTATTGTTTTGTATTTTCAACTGATGTCATAACTATTTCAAATGGAATGTGTTTTAAACAGTATGTTATTTTTATTAGAATAGATATAATAAATCTGTTATGATTCATTATCAAGTTTACCTGTTGTTGCCAATTTTTATGTCAATTTTTTTTTTTTGTTAAATTTGTTTTTTATAAACAAATAAAACTGGTTAGAATTCTAAAGCTGTTAATGGAATACATACATACATATATAACTTGGACGATATTTAATCTAAAGGAGATTTTTCTCCAGTGAAGCAAACTTCAACCACAACTAAAAAGATGTTGAAAAGAATTCAAAAGTTTTTAAGGCAAATTTTATTATTACTCATAAAAACTTGATAAAAGACTCCATAACCCCATGAAAAATAGTTTCAAACTACTCTGACACTATTCCTAGTAGTTAAAAAAAAGGATTTATTACAAAAGAAATCAATAATCCTTGAATGAATTTAAATAGATTTTGTTTATTCGTATACTCTTTAAACTTGTTTGCATTGCTTTTGTTAAAAAAAATATATTACAATTACTATTATTATAGCTACGTCCCGATGTTGTGCCCAAGACTGCCGAGAATTTTCGTGCTCTGTGCACTGGTGAGAAAGGTTTCGGTTATAAGGGTTCATGTTTTCATCGCATAATACCGGATTTTATGTGTCAGGGTGGTGATTTTACTGCTCACAATGGCACTGGCGGTAAATCGATTTATGGTCATAAATTCGATGATGAAAACTTTATTTTAAAACACACCGGAATTGGTACCCTTTCCATGGCCAATGCTGGGCCCAATTCGAATGGATCACAGTTTTTCATATGCACGGTTAAGACAACATGGTTGGATGATCGCCATGTTGTATTTGGCAAAGTTATTGAAGGCCTAGATGTAGTTAAAAGGATGGAGCAAATGGGTAGTCAATCGGGAAAGACTAATAAGAGAATCGTTATAGCCGATAGTGGTCAATTGCAATAGTTCATAGTCATAATTTACATACAAGTACAAAATGTGTTCTTAATTTTTTTTACAAATATTCTTTGTCATAATATGTAAGAGCAAATATTAAGCAGAATATATAGTCTAAACACTTTATTTTAATTTGTCTTATTTACTTACTTTATTTACTAAGTAATTATTGTGGGTGTGTTATGAGAATGTGTCTGTCCACACTGCTGAACTCAAGTATGGATCCACTAAAAAGTGTCAGTGTTTCCAAAAAGAAATCAGAAACAAATTTACTAATAAATAGTATTAAAAAAATAAAAGAACAAAACATAAATAATCATTTGTTGCACATCATGTGTGTGCGTATTCTTCTTTCTGCAGCTCCGTAGCGATGTTGTTCCAAAGACCGCTGAGAATTTCCGTGCTCTCTGCACCGGTGAAAAGGGTTTCGGCTACAAGGGCTCCTCCTTCCATCGTGTCATTCCCAACTTCATGTGCCAGGGTGGTGATTTCACAAACCACAATGGTACCGGCGGTAAATCCATCTATGGCAACAAGTTCGCTGATGAGAACTTCACCTTGAAGCACACCGGTCCCGGTATTTTGTCCATGGCCAATGCTGGACCCAACACCAACGGTTCACAATTCTTCATCTGTACCGTCAAGACCGCTTGGTTGGACAACAAACACGTTGTCTTCGGTCAAGTCGTTGAAGGCATGGAAGTTGTTAAGCAAATCGAAGGTTACGGCACCCAATCCGGCAAGACAAACAAGAAGATTGTTGTCGCTGACTGTGGTGCTCTGTAAGCAGAAGGCCATCGTTATCATCTAAACGACAACAAACAACAACAAAAACTATTTTAATATTAGTAATTTTAAGAGTAATCGCAACAGCAAATACAACAAATGAAAGATGAAAAAGCATTTAAACTAAATCATTTAGAACAAATAAAATGTTAAACAAAAAAAAAAAAAAAATGAAAATCATTTAAAACAATTTGTTCTCAGTTTCTTCTCTCTTTCACACAAAAACATAGTTTGAAATCGTAAAAATTACCAATTGAATTAAAACAAAAGAAGAAATATGCTTAAAGTATAAATTATATTGTTCTCTCAATATTATTCCCAGATAAAAAACAAAAAAAAACCTTTTTTTATTATTTTACAAAAATAAAACATTCTACTTTTTTCCTGTCCAAAATTATGTTGTGTTTCATTCAATTCAATATTTTATATAGACAACATTCGTGTAGAAAAATAGCTAAGAAAAAGCCACTAGTAATTAGATTATTAGCTGATCGATTTTGTTGCCTAGTTTTGAGGGCGTAGTTTGATTTTTTACGTTTTGTTGAAAGCTTCTGTTCAATTGTAGTATATTTTTTCTTTAATTTACATGGTTTTTTATCAAACAAGCAAAAGCTTAAGTTATAAAATTGCTGTATCTAAAGCTTCTGTTGGTTCCATTGCTTTATTGGTTTTATTATAAGATAAACAATTGCACTATTAGTTCTGTAAAGCACATCATTCGGAAAGAAGAACAGTTCGCACGTACATAACCAAACATTACTGGTGATCTTTGAATGTTTAAGTTTTATTTTGTATGTTACTGTTTGCGTTAAAAGATACCAGTTCATTCCATCCTCTATGTCTGATTTTATCATTCTAGGTTCAATAATTCGGAAAATCTAATAACGTAAAAGTACCAAAAATTCTTTCCCACAGATTTTCATTCACTACGGACTCTTAACGTGATATGTTTCTAGGTTCAATCACCCCTATTCTGCCTTTCAATTCGTATTCTGCATTTCGATTTGAAGCTCAGTCACTAAAATAGCAACTTACAGAAACGTAGTTACGATCGTAATGTAGAATACACACAATCGTAAAGCATTGAAATAAAATTCAATTGCTTCTTCTGTTTCTTACGATTCCGTTTTTCGTTGGAATACAAATTTTCGATCGTAGCGTAACTGAATGCGGAAACGTACATAATCGAAATGCAGAATAGGGGTGAATATTATAGAAAATTAAGAATAACACCTATTGAATACTCCGGGCTAGGTTTAATACTACAGAAATCTCAAAATGCTTAATTTTCTAAGCATTCATCTCTGATTGTGGCAATAACAACATAAAGCTTCATACCTAACGCGTTCTACATTGTTTTCACAAGTACCAAATGATGCTGTATGTTGTTGTTGTTGTTAGATCTGAGCTGGAGAACAACTCTCGCGTCTTACTTTAAAAGGATGGTCAAGCTTGTGTTTGTTGCCAAGCTTTCGACAGACTTGCGTCTCACTCACTCCAAGTTATGCCTTGTTTGCATTAAACACGTGCTTTCGTCTTACCTCAGACTGAGGTTATGTGTTTAATTGATAGAGAACATATAATACTTAGGATATAACCTGTTAGAGATCATCATCACATAGATACATACATACATACATACATACATACATACATACATACATACATACATACATACATACATACATACATACATACATACATACATACATACATACATACATACATACATACATAGAATTTGGAGGAGTGAAATGACTTCGGGATTTTTTGACTTGCGGTTTGACTAGGTAACTACAAGGTACTAAGGGAGTTAGTGTTCCACAGGATTCGTCCTGTACAGACCATTGTTGAGATTCCTTGGGTTGTTTTTTGAAATCACAGACTCTGGGTATTATACTTATGTTGTGAATGTGTTGATATCTCAAGGAAAGGATGCAGAATGATTCAGTGAGCCATGAATGTGTCAGATAAATGTTTCCATGAGTTTATCGGATGAATGGTTTGTGTGATGGCTTGAATGGTGATGAATGTAAATGTTCCTTCTTTGTCTGGGTATATTTCGGCGTTTACTCTGTTTACACCCGACCAACAGCAATGTGTGTGGATATCTTGTCTTATAAATGGAGTTTGAAAGAACAGAAGCCATCCAACCAATGTGGTTGAGTATTTTGTCGTGCAAAGTATCAGATATGGTCTGAAGATTGCAGGACATTCCGCAACGGGACAGCAAATGGTCAGAGATTAAATTGCTAGAGTACTTTAGCAAAGTGCTTTTACATGGACTCTTTGTGACTTGCACACAGAGGAAAAAAGAAATATACATATGCCTGGTACCAAATTTACATCAAAATGTTTATAATTTTTCAATAACATTCGATGCCAAATTATATACATACGTACGACAACACTATGTAATGTTGACAAATCAACGTTGCCAACATTGCAACAATTTGTTATCGAAATCTAAATTTTATACACACCCGTTGTCTAAATATTAACAAACGTGGTAAGCTCTCTATTGGCAACGGATTGTTTGTCAATAGTGAGCTTACCACGTTTGTTAACGTTTAGACAACGGATGTGTATAAAAATTAGATTTCGACAATGAATTGTTGCAGTGTTGTCAACATTACATATATGTGTATATAGTGTTGTCGTACGTACACATGTATATACTTTGACAAAGGATGTTATTGAAAAAAATTATAAACAGTTTGGTGTCAATTTGGTACCTGGCGTGTATATTTCTTTTTCCCGCTGTGCATGTTCTTTGCAAGTCACAAAGGGGTGGTGGTGAGTCTTAGGCCTTTAGTTATTGGATCTTTTCTATAGCAATTGATACAAATTCTTTTTGGATTTTCTTGAAAATATTTAAATGGTTTTAAATTAGAAACATTTTAGAAATATGAAATCCTTGATTTTAACATTAGCTGCTTTTGATCCATGCCTGCTTAATAAACATTCATCTCATCAGAATTTTCCATAATCAGTTTTTTACCAATATGAGACCAGTTTTGAGGTACATACCTAAATTTCCTTTCAGTTACGCAAAGATGTGGTTCCAAAGACAGCAGAAAATTTCCGTGTCCTATGTACGGGTAAAAAAGGTTATGGATTCAAAGGTTGCACTTTCCATCGTGTCATACCGAATTTTATGTGTCAAGGTGGCGACTTTACAAAGAACGATGGTACCGGGGGCAAATCAATCTATGGCACTACATTTAAGGATGAGAATTTTAAACTAAAACATACTGGTCCCGGCATTCTATCCATGGCCAATGCAGGTCCTAATACTAATGGTTCGCAATTTTTCATTTGCACCGTAAAAACACCTTGGCTAGATGGACTACATGTAGTGTTTGGTCAAGTTATACAAGGTATGGATGTTGTTAAGAAAATCGAATCTTATGGTTGTCCCGAAGGACGTCCCATGAAACATATTGTTATTGAGGATTGTGGTGAATTGAAATAGATTAAGTTGTTATGGTGGTAATTACTGAAAATGAAAATAGTTATAGTTGTTGCAAAAAATGGGCCATAATTGCAGGAATTTTAATTTTGAATAAAAATTTCTACACAGAAAAAATTATTTTTAAAAAATTTTCAATTAAACGATTAATCAAAAATTTTAAAAGGGTTCAATTCATTTTGTATTTGATTCATAAAAATGTATAATCAAATACGTATTTAACAACAACAAAAATAGAAAAAAATAAAAATTTTGTGTACGAAATCAATTATAAGTAGTAATTGAATATACAATTTTTGTTATAGGTTGAACTTCAAAAAATAAAATAATTGAAAACGAGGTTTTGGTAATTGAAATCGTTTTTCAGTTTTTTCTGTGTAGAATAAAATATATTTATGGTTAAGTATTGTAGGCAATAAAGAAAGTTTCAGATATTTAAAGTTGTTGGTTTATTTTTGCACTTTTTTAAATATTTATTTACAGCTGCGCGCTGATATTGTGCCTAAAACTGCGGAGAATTTTAGAGCCCTTTGTACTGGCGAAAAGGGTTACGGCTATAAGGGTTCAACGTTTCATCGGGTCATACCCAATTTCATGTGCCAGGGCGGAGACTTTACGGCGCACAATGGCACTGGTGGAAAATCGATTTATGGCAATAAATTTGATGATGAAAATTTAATTTTAAAACATACGGAACCAGGTATTTTGTCTATGGCCAATGCTGGCCCAAATACAAATGGCTCACAGTTTTTCATCACCACTGTTAAAACTTCCTGGTTGGATAATCGTCATGTTGTATTTGGTAAAGTGGTCGAAGGTATGGATATTGTTAAGAAAATTGAAGCAATGGGTAGTCAATCGGGTAAGACTGGCAAGACAATTGTTATCAGTGATTCTGGACAACTTCAACATTAAAGATTTTTTTGAATAAAAAAAAAAAAAAAACAATTAGTTTATAACTTTATCTACTTATTTCTTTATAAAAATCTTAATTATTAAGGTAATTTATTGAAATCAGCTACTTTCATTATCTTCCATTGGTTTTTTATTATCCTGGGTTTTAGGCATTAGAAAACCCAAACAACCTGCTAATATTAAAGCTGTTGAGGAACTGTATAAAGCAGCTTCACAATGAGTTTCTATTAAGGCACCCATTACATTACTTCCGGTAACACTACCAATGCGTCCCAGCATTAATGAAATACACACTGCCATGGCTCTGAAAATGTAATTGAGAAGATATACATAATTCAAATTATTTTCTCTTTCTCTTCCATATAATTTAAGAAATTTCTTTTAAAATCATATTTCAGAATATTTCTTTGGTCAATATCATATAATTTGTATGTCATTGACTCTAAGCGGATTAGCTTGGGTGTTTTCAAACAGTAATTGTATATTTAGTTTTATTAGCTAAATTACTTGGGTTCATTAGTTCACCACCTCTGCTACTGTTCCATTATATTTATAACTGTAGTTTAAAATTTTAGTTTGACTGCTAATTTTATAGATTATGCGATTAGCCGCAATTCGTTTTGTAAACTATAAAACTAATAATTCAGAGTCCTTGACTAATGTAGCAATACATTTTGTTCCCAATAAACATTTTCGTGTTTTTTAAAATTATAATAACACTAGCTATACCCAGTGTGCTTCGCTACCCTCATCGTAATGAAATAAAATAAATATCATTATTGTAAATGTATATATATCTGCAATATCAAAAATTCCCCTTTTAGAGAACTCTTTGATCTTATGATTCTAGTCTCAATATTACAGAAAATTTAAAAAAAAAAACAGTTGAAGAACGAAAAAGTACCAGACAGTGCCATTTTATATATTTTCATTAAATCAGGATGACGCATGTTTAATTTTCAACCAGAAACCAAAAAAATCGCATAAAGATTTTTATACAATCAGGAAGCTACATGTCCAATTTTATGTTTTTAGGTTCAATATTATAGAAAATTCGAAAAGTATTAGTAAAAGAACAAAAAGTACCAGAGTATCCTTTTTCAATTTTCGTTCAATTGGGATACTGCGTGTTTAATTTTATGTTTATATATTCAATATTTTAGAAAGCTCTAAAAGTACCAATACCAGTGAAGTACGAAAAAGTACCAAAAAACCTATTTTATTTAATTTCATGTTCCTAAGTTCAATATTATAGAAAATTCAAAAAGTACCAGAAAATATTCCAGTTTAAATTTTCATTCACTCAAGTCCCTGATTGCTTTTATAGATTCTAATTAACTCCGGGCTTCACATGCTTAATTTCATGTTTCTAGGATCAATATTATAAAAAACACAGAAAGTACCTTTTGAAGAACGAAAAAATACCAAAAAGTGCCCTTTTATAGGTTCTCACTTAATCCAGGCTCTAAACGCTTAATTTCATGTTTCTAGGTTCAATATTATAGAAAATTCAAAACGTACCTTTTAAAGAACGAAAAAGTACCAAAAAGTCCCCTTTTATAGGTCCTCACTTAATCCGGGCTCTACATGCTTAATTTCACGTTTCTAGGTTCAATATTATACAAAAATCCAAAAAGTACCTTTTGAAGAAAGAAAAAGTTCCAAAAAGTCCCCTTTATATGTTCTCACTTAATCCAGGCTCTACATACTTAATTTCATGTTTCTAGGTTCAATATTATAAAAAATTCAAAAAGTACCTTTTGATGAACGAAAAGTCCCCTTTTATAGATTCTCATTTACTCCGGGCTTTACATGCTTAATTTCATGTTTCTAGGTTAAATTTTATAAAAAACTCAAAAAGTACCAGTCGAAGGACGAAAAAGTACCAAAAGTCCCCTTTTATAGGTTCTCACTTAATCCAGGCTCTACATAGTTAATTTCATGTTAATTTCTTATAGAAAACTCAAAAAGTAACTTTTGTAGAACGAAAAAGTACCAAAAAGTCCGCTTTTATAGATTCTCATTTACTACGGGCTCTACATGCTTAATTTCATGTTTCTAGGTTCAATATTATAGAAAATTCAAAAAGTACCAGTCGAAGTACGAAAAAGTACCAAAAAGTCCCCTTTTATAGATTCTCACTTACTCCGTGCTCTACATGCTTAATTTCATGCTTCTAGGTTTAATTTTAAAGAAAACTCAACAAAATACCTGTGTAGAACGAAAAAGTACCTAAAAGTCCCATTATTATTAATTTCATGTTTCGATTTCAATATCAAAGAAAACTCAAAAAGTACCAGATGGAGAATGAAAAAGTACCAAAAAATATCACTTGGTACCGGGGTTCCAAATAACCTCATTAGCATATTTAGTGTTTCTAAATCTAAAAATTTTATCTAAACTGGATCATTGTGTTTGAATAAAATCAAATTTCCCGTTTTTACCCCTTTTGGTACTTTTTTTCTACCCATTAACGAAATAAAAATTATATTCCAAAATGTTGCAACATCGTAGTGGGAGCCCGCTATTATGTATTTATATGTATAAGTTAATAAACCAAAATCAATGTTTTATGAAAAAAGTACCAAAAATAGGTACAATTTTCACCCCTTAAACATCCGAATAACCAAAAAGTACTAAATTTATATTTTTATTTTTTCGTCAAGTTATGAAGGAGTCAAAAATATTGTTTGAATGTTCACTGGTTTAAAAGATACATGGGGTGCAAAAAAAGTACCAAAATACAGTTTTTATCCGTTTATTCCCTAAAGGGGCCGAAATTGAAAAAAGTACCAGACACCTGTCCGCTTATTTTTTAAATGAACGACGATAAGCTTTAAACTATTTTTGTATCTTTTCTAGTTTAGGAGATATGAGGTTACCGATTTTACCCGTTTTTACCCTTTTTTACCCCCTAAACATTCGAATTTCCAAAAATCCCGTCTTAGTGGATCTATTTGGTGGGAGACCAACCCCCTGTCCAAATTTCAGCTCTTTAGCTTTAACCGTTTAGGCTGTGCGATGATGAATCAGTCAATCAGTCAGTCAATCAGTCAGTCAGTCAGTCAGTAACGTTAGAATTTTATATATATAGATTAACTATAGCCAACAAAATAAATGAGTGTATTATGATAAGAAATCTAACATACAAACCTTAAATTTGTGGGATAAATATCAACTACAATTGTATTCATGACACTAGTGCCTAAACCACAACACAACGTAATGACCAGCATATAAATCGCTACCAAGGGAATGCTGATTAACAAACTCAGAATGCCAAAAAGACCACAAGTTGCTAGAATTGTAACTACACAAAAACAATTGTTGAAATTATAATTTATATTTTAAAAATTAGAAAAAATAAACTTACATAAAATTGGAGTACGTTTGAATTTTTTATTGGCAAAAATCACACATATCAGCAGAAATATATAGATGAATTCCAATGTAATTGTATGTCTGTAGGTGGATATTTCCAATTTGGTTGTACACATTTTATCATTCTGAAATTATAATAAGAACATATTTGTTATAGGATATTAAAGGTTAGATTGATAGGAGGGAGGATGTATACTACATCAAATCAGATGAAATACACCTATATATATTTGTTGGTAAAACAAAATCCTTATACTCATTTTTCTGGATGTAATTCCTAAGAGTTTTCCAATCAGTGTTCGTGGGGGATGTTATATCTGGAATAACATTACTCTCATGAAATTTGGATCTAGTTTTGACGAAAGCCCGACAATGCCAAAGAAAGTGTTCACTGTCCTTTCTACATGCTCTACATTTGTCTGAATTCGCATGTTTTGTATGTCCACTCAGAAAACGTACCCTCATACTAACCTAAGAGTTGCTCATTTTGAGGAGGGTTATTGTCCTGCTCTCGTTAACCATCGTATAACCACCGTTTCATTATACGAAGAGTCCTTATGGGATTCTCTCAACATGGCGTCTGTCAGGTTAACCACCTCGAGCTCCCTTACCTTTAAAGCTAGTACATTCGCTCTTTCTTTGCCAACTACTCCCGAGTGTTCTGGTACCTATATGATGTAAACCTTAACGTCTGGTTGTCGGTAAATATCTTAATTTTATGCATTTTACAATTTCGTTATTGCTCGGACTTCTGTCTGGAAGCTAAATAAAATTATAGTAAGGTAGAGGGTAGTATATTTCAGTCCTCAAATTTAGATCCATTCGTGTAGCAATGGATTTCTAATATTCCTCTAGACCACGACATTCTATATGTGATCAGTGTTTTAAAGTGCGCGAAATATTAAGTGTCTGGTATGCTATCGAACATGTCAGATGATTGTTTATAACCTTCCAATGTGTTCAGTATACATAGACAACGTGTTCTTAAACGCTTTTAATCAGTTTGCCTAAAGTTACGAGCTGTTCGGCTGTAAGTCCTAATGGTGCATCATTGAAACATATATAAGATATGAATATATATTTCAATGGTAGGAATATCTAGCAACGTTTCCAGTGTTTTGGTTGAGGTAAGGAACCACTTATAGCCAAGCAGAATGTACGATAAACTTCCAGTATTAGTTTGATGTTACACTTTTAGTCACCGTTATCTTTTTGCCCAGGAAGTGGGGTTTAATATACTTGTGAAAAGACAGATTTCCCTCTTCGCCGAGATTAACATTGAGACCTGTCGGTTGAGCCCAGCTCATGGCTGTATTCAGAGTCTATTCAGCTCTTCTAGACAAATCGTTTAGATCCTTTCATAGAAGTATTATGACATCGTCTGCATAGCAGACTGGTCTACTTCTACCAGACAGATTCGTAAAGGCGACAAAATTTCACCTTGTGGTGTACCGCGAAACACAGTTTTCCTAATAGTTATATCGTTCATCTCGCAGCGTATCCATTTGTTCACTAGCATATAGTTAATACAGCTACGGAGCACCCGGTCAACATAAAACTGATTTGAGGTCTTTGCTTTTATTCAAGGCTTTAAGTAGGAAGGACGTAATTCTTATCGGTCGATAGAACATTGGTTTCGCATAACTTGGTTTTCCAGATTTGGGTATAATATCCCGCCATTTAATTGGAGTAAATGCGAATTTTAAGCATGCAGTGAAAATCTTTGCCAGATGAACTAAAACTATTCCTGCCTCCATCTGCAAAAGTTTCATCTGGTCCTGTGGCTTATGGGGTGATTGCCTCCTTAACCATGGGCCATAGCTGTTGTAATAGCTGTGCTAGCGATCCCATAAGGTAGAAAAGTATTTTTGGGAGTTTCAATGTCTCCTACATCATCGATCGCAAATTCCGTTTGGACATATGTCAATTTAATCTGATAATCCTCCGATGATTTACAAGTCTTCTCGAGAATTTTCTTTCGCATCCAGCTTTGTCAATCCGACCATACTACGGTCCTATTGGCAGATGTGGTATGGTCCACATTATAACTTTTCCAAGTAGTTCAACTAACATCGACGGAACAACGAATTCCTGAAAGCTCAGCCATGTGTCCAAAAATGTAGTATTCACTACGACCAACAATCCTTTAGCAAACATACAATATTATTATGCGGTTAAGATTCCCAAATGGAATGTGAACCGCCAAAGAAAAACAATAATGACTGAGGCATAAAGAAAGTTATACCACAGGTTTCATAAGCAAGGTCATGTCTTGACCAGGGACTATTGCAGTTACACTAAATTTTCTAACAAAACACAGACCACAGGGCTTCTGAGAAAAAAGGGGGCAGTTCAGGAAATTACAAGTTTTGGCAGATGAAAACGGTCATAGTCTTTTGACCCTGCTAAACTGTTAAAACCGATACGCCTAAGAAGGCAATATATGATAAAATTGTTGAAGCCAGGTCCAACAACCCATAAGTATAATTTGAAGAATTTCACAGTGGTACCACGAAAGAAGTTATACTCAAGTAGGGTCCAGGAAATGTGGCAATAGCCACAAAGAGTATAATGTGCACTAAGTTTATCACTGACATCCAAAACTTATACTTTAGACATAAGCAGTAACAGAGGATTAGATCTCTGAGAAGTAATAACAGAGGATTAGACCTCTGAGGCCCAAGAATAATAAAGTGGGATTTATTAATTGCGGTGGGCTTGTTGGTAGTTTCTTTCAGTCCGGAGGTCTATTCTTATCAGAGGAACGAACAACCGGTCCAATAGCCTAGGCGTATTTCTCATGATCTAATGTAATAACAAACATTATCATTTTAAACTAACGGAATGAAAAGATTTCTGGATGATGGAAAATTAATTAAAAGTTATTAAAATGTATACTTAATTAGAAAAAACTTACCTGATTAACATCTAAACTATTTGGTATGGAAAAATTCGAGGATTGAGTAAATCTTAAAATATCACAAAGGCATAAAGGTTCATCATAGTGTTGTGTATACAACATGGCATTGTTAAGTATATAGGGAAACCACATGTAAACTCCATGGGCAGTAAAGAATATGATAAATTGTATAACGGCCGCCAAGCAAGTTTTACGAATATGCTGTCTCATAAATAATGGAGCTGTTTGATCCCATATTAGCTTTAGCATTGACGAAGCTGATTTGGGATTATCAATACCTTGTTTGCGTATGGGTGTATCCAAATCGGGCAATAGAGTGGTAATCTAATTGAAGATGAAAAAGTGTAAGAAATCAAATTACTAAAAGTATTATTATTTTTACCGTAAATTGGTCGTTTTTTAGATTTTTATTTCCATGAGTATTTTTACGATGTATTTCCTTTAAAACATCTAAAGATTCTTGTGTTCTATTGACGCCCAACAGATATTTAGGACTTTCAGGTAAGTATCCTAAAAATATGCAGCAACCAAGTCCAGATACGCCACACATAAGAAAATACAAACGCCAGGGTTTATAAACAATCGGCAAGAATGGTATATCAAATTCCCATTCTTGATTAATAAAAAGCCAGGCAATAATTGGAAAAAATACAGCACTGAACGCACTCATTAAAGCTCCACATAGTATGGCTTTATTGCGATCCTTTTGACTATGGAATTCGCCTAAATAAGCGAAAATAGTAGCAGAACCGGCTGATATTCTGGAATAATGAAATAATACACACAATTGAAACAATTCACAGTTCCAAATTTAAAATCACAAATACTTACAATATTCCATTTATAAAGCGCAATATTGCCATCATTACGAAATTGAAGGAGAAACTCGATACAAATGTCACTAAAAAAGCTAAAAACAATGTGGGTCTCATTGTCCTCTTGCGACCTTTGGTATCAGCCAAAAATCCCCATAAATGGGAACTAAAGATGATGCCTAAAAAGCACACTGCACCTAAGATACCTTGCTCCTGATAAGACAAATTCAAATCACAAGCCACAACTGGCAAAGCAAAACTAACTCCCACCGATTCCAATATCACATTATTCAATACAAGACCCGAAAATACTATAAGTTTAATATTAAATTTTCCAAAATCTGCAAATAACAGAGAATTCGTTTTAGTTCGGTTTCACTTATTAGTTTAAATTCATTTTATTTACGTGTCTTTTCCAAAGCTTCATCAATGGTGGCCGTTGTAATTGGTTCCGATTGTTTTGCCATATTAATGATTCTTTTAAAAATACTATAAACGTAACACGAGTATTTATTTAATCCATCCAGATGTCTGTGATTGAGTATTATTTTCTAAATGCACGATATTTTCAAACATTTATACTAGCAGACCCGTTAATATGTATGGTGGCTGTTGTATGTTATCACAATTTTCAGAGACCATTGTTTCAAGATGTGGTATTGTCTTAAATTATCTTCGCTATATATTTATATCTAATTCCTAAGTAAATATCTAATGTTCGTACGTTCGCTTGTTTAACTACAAACAATAAATTGTAATAAACTTTATTTATTTACTTTTACTTTATATCGAATTTAAATACAACTTTCTTCTGGCGTAAGTAGTCACTAATTTGACTTTTACGAGAGACGTTAAATGAACGTTAATCTATTACAAAAATAGAATTGAGAGTAAAGTGTGCTGTCTGATGCCTTAACTTATTATCTCTTAAGATTGACTATTGTTAACACTTAGATAACTTTTTTAACTTAATGCAAAGTGACTATGACTTTAGAATACTTCTTGGGAAAAATAGGGGTCAAAATGTAAGATTTTGATATACAACTTATGTCACTTTCGTTTCCTATAGCTGTCATACCCATTAACCATCGGAAAGTGATGAGGTTTTAAACCTTACATTGCACACATTAATCTGGTGGAAACCAAATCACATCTGTCTGAAACTTGTCTTGTCCTTTGCAGTTAATCACTCTGAAATATGATCGCAGCAGTCATGTACGTTAACCGAATCTAAGTCCAACCCCAGTGGCAAGATACCATGATGAACTTTCCCCATCTTGGTGTTATATCAATATCTCTAGTCTACCGTTACTATAAACTGGTGACGATTAAATATATCCTCGGTCTTTCACATAATCTAGTACCACAGGAACCGGTAACCTACAAGACAGATTTTCGGACTTTGTCTTGTGCCGGTTATTGGTTGAGACCCAAATTCGAAGTGAATTTTGGTTAAAAGACTGATACACGGTAAAATCTATAATTCTGGCGAGACTATGGATGGAAGCGTTGGAATTGAGTTCGTGTCAAGTGTATATGATACGGGATGGATGTAGGGATATGCGGTTCTTACCAATCCATATACCCACAGTGAGTGTGTCGGATGAATGAGAAGTGCAAGGAGATGGATGTAATGTATCTTATACAAGTTTTGAATTTTCCTTCATATTTCGGGCATGTGCAAGGTTTATGATAAGATAGCTTGAGTAATTGAGCAAAATGTTTGTACATGGACTGGCAGCACCATGTGTAAGATACACAAACGGACAGTGGTGAGTCGTCTAATCAGCTACCCTGTGGTTGTAAAAGTACCGCCGTGAAATAAGGCCAATACGGCGGGTGTTCACGTAAAGCATTTCGTATTTTTACCTCCATCAAGCTTTGTTAAGACCTAATTCAGAATACCAACATGAGAATACTGCCCTGTAAAAACATCTGAGAAAAAAATCTAAGAACGTCGACAATTAGCTTCTTTCTGTCAAATTGATTTTCGTCCCAGGACACAATGGCATTTGGGAATATAAAATTGCCAATGAATGTGCAACTAACGGATCGTTCTCGGGCAAAACTGTTTTGAAGAAGACTAAGAATCGGAAATCGAAAATGCTGTAGACGGTCTTTAACGGCAAATGAGTTTGATAGAAATTTGTTAAGGTTTCTTATTGGCATACTTATAGGACTCTGCATGAGGGTAAGAAAGATGAATTGGTACAAAACCTTTTATGCGACTGCCCTGATCTACAAGAGCACGGACTCTGATATTTGGCCACAAGCCTATTCTCTGGACTAACAAGTTACACAAATTTGTTAGAAGTATCGGTAGCTAGGACAAATTTAATAGAAAGACCTCCAAATTAGGGAGGAATAATAAATATAAGGGTATCACAATGGAAAATTTTTAACATACACCAGAGCAATAAATTTTCAACCAGAGTTAGCAGCTAGTGCGATTTAGTTATTGGAAACATCAAATGCTAAAAGCCACAAACTGATCCTTGCTGAGTGTAAAGAACCACCACTAACAACTAGTGGTGGTAGTCTGGTTAAAAACAGTAGGGTTGTCCTGACATTCGCAAAACGCCTTCTAGGACCATAGTCCATCTCCGTAAAGATCGCATCAAACTTGCGTTCAATCCTGAAAACGTTGATGGTGATCCAAGAAATAATCACTACTTTAAAGCAAGCCTTTACCTTGGATAGCAAGAATAGGATATATCACTTTATATTGGATGATTGTTCAACGATTTTTTTGCTTGATTCTTTCTGAAAACGCTTTTAATCTTGATAGGAATAGCTGAATACATGCAGCATTTTTACTCAAATTAATTCAAAATTTTTAATAATTCTTACGTATAATTTATATACCCACCATCAAAAAAGATGAGGGGTATATTGTTTTTGTCATTCCGTTTGTAACACATCGAAATATTCATCTAAGACCCATAAAAGTATATATATTCTGGATCCTTATTAAATTCTAAGACGATCTAGCCCTGTCCGTCCGTCTGTCTGTTGAAAACGGGCTCAAATTTTGCACAGACCTTTTATATTGATGCAGTTTGGTATTGAAAATGGGCAATATCGGTCCACGATTTCGCCTAGCCCCCATATAAGGTCCCCTTAAGTAAATGACTTTAACGCTCATAACTGTCTAAAAGAAGCATCTATAGCGATGAAATTCGACATGAACATATTCTATAGAAACCTAAATCGCTTTGTAAAATTTTATAAGGATCGGTCCATAATTGACCTACCCCCCATGTAAGGACCCCTTCTAAAAATGACTTTACCGCTCATAACTGTCTAATAGAAGCATCTATAGCAATGAAATTCGAAATGAACATGAACATCTTATAGGAACCTTAATATCATTGTTAAATTTTATAAGGATCGGTCCTTAATTGACCCTATCCCCCATATAAGGTCCCCTTCAGAAAATGATTTTAACGCTCATAACTGTCTAAAAGAAGCATCTATAGCGATGAAATTCGACATTAACATATTTTATAGGAACCTTAATATCATTGTTAAATTTTATAAGGATCGGTCCATAATTGACCCTATCCCCCATATAAGGTCCCCTTCAGAAAATGACTTTAACGCTCATAACTGTCCAAAAGAAGCTTCTATAGCGATGAAATTTGACATGAACATATTTTATAGGAACCTTAATATTTTTGTTTAATTTTGTAAGGATCGGACCAAATTAACCCTAAAATTTCTCTACCAAATTTTAGGAGGATTAGTGCATAATTGATCCTCTCGATATATGTATATGGTTTTGTTGTTTTGATAATAACAAAAGCATCGATTCTTTAATATCATAGTTTATTTATAAGGAAGCATTTCTTTTCGGCAATGATTTGATGGCGGGTATACATGATTCGGCACAGCCGTTACTTGTTTATTTTTAAATGTGTAAATAAGTAGTATATATATAAATAACTTAATTAATAATGAATTATAGATTTAATTAGATATTTTCATTGTCATTATTTGGCTTTTTATTATCCTGAGTTTTAGGCATTAGAAAACCCAAACATCCAGCCATTATCAATGCAAATGATGATGTATAAAATGCTAATTCACAATGAGTTTCTATTAAGGCACCCAATACATAGCTGCCCGATACACTGCCAATGCGACCCAGCATTAATGATATACAAACAGCCATAGCTCTGTAAATATATATTGATTATATTGAAAATTTTACAATTCCAAAGACATGACTTCTCAATTTGTCTACATACCTCAAATTTGTTGGATAAATATCTACAACAACTGCACTCATGACACTTGTAGCTAGACCAGAACACAACATTAGGGCGATCATATAAATCGCTATTAAAGGTATCTTGATTATCAAGCTGAGAATGCCGAAAATACCAGACAATGCTAGAATAACGACTGTAATATGGAAGTTACAATATAAGATTAGTTTATATTTGTATTAAATTTAAAAACTTACATAAAATGGGAGTACGATTGAATTTTTTGCTGGCAAAAATCACACATAACATCAAAGTCATATAAATTACCTCCAATGTGATCGTGTGTTTATAGGTAGATATTTCCAATTTTGTTGTGCAGGTGTTAACCAGCTAAAATTAAAAACAAATTAAAATGTTATTAAAGAAATTAACAATTTAATAACGATGCTAACCTCACTATCTAAACTATTAGCATTGGAAAAATTTACGGATTGGGTAACTCTTAAAATATCACAGAGACATAGAGGTTCCTCATATTGTTGTGTATATAACATGGTATTATTGAGAATATAAGGAAACCACATATAGATGCCATGAGCAGTAAAAAGTGTAATAAACTGTATTAGAGACGATAGGCAGGTCTTACGAATATGTTGTCTCATAAACAAGGGAGCGGTTTGGTCCCATATTAAGCGTAATATAGAAGTAATCGATTTCTTATCGCCCATAGACTTTCTGCGTAATGGTGTATCTAAATCAGGTAAAATTGTTGTAATCTATATTACATACAAGTAAAGGAATAAATAATTATATGTTTATTAATATATATTTTTTACCAAATCTTACCTTAAACTTATCGTCTTTAAGTTTTTTATTCCCCTTCGTATTTTTACGATGCATATTCTTTAAAATATCCAAAACTTCACTGGGCCTATTTAAACCCAATAAATATTTAGGACTTTCAGGCAAGTAGCCCAAAATAATACAACAAACAAGTCCAGAAAGACCACACACGATTATGTATAAACGCCAGGGTTTAAAGACAATCTGCAGAAATGGTATCTGCAGTTCCCAATCTTGATTAATGAAAAGCCATGCTATAATTGGTAGAAATATGGCGCTGAAAGCACTTATTAAAGCGGAACACATAATAGCTTTGTTGCGATTCTTTTGGGAATGGAATTCGCCCAAATAAGCAAAAATTGTAGCGGAACCAGCCGATATCCTAAAAGAGGAAAAATAATTATTAAAATGTTAAAAGATTTTGATATTAACATTATGCAAAATATGAAATATTATAAATTTGATTAATTCCATGAGTAAATAAATATTTGGACCTTTATGTGTATTTTTTCACAGTAGTATTTTTTATCATATGTTTTCAATTCAGGAAAAGTAAAATGTTTGTTTGTTTGCTCACATAAAGATTATAATGTATAATTATTTAATTGTTTATAGTTTTAACGCGATCGTGCCACTGTCAGATGAATGTGATTAAAATACTTATATTGCTTCTTCAAATGGAAAAAATATATATTTTGCTTGCATAAAGTATGTATGAGTCAAAGAAGGTGTTTCTCATCGTAAGATAAAATGCTCGCCTGATGAAGCACCTTGATGGTTATTTTGAACTTAAAATAGTAAGATGCGATAAAGAAAAGTTATTAGAACACATGTACCAATACCAATAATTCATACGCAAAGGTGTACTAAAGGGTGTCACATTGATAACTTGTCGTTTAAGTTATATGGGAAGCTCGCAATTTAGCGAGAATACTCGGAAATCATTTGGCTCTTTGCGATACCCTTAAAATTTATCCTTAATATTTTGGAACGTCTTGTTATTCTCAAGGTCCCCAAAAAACAGTCTGTCGCCTAATTCTAACAAATTCTATAACATTCGCCAGTGACATATCCCGTGGTTTGTGGTAAGATATTTCAGGCATGGAAAATTGAAATTTTGAAATAGTACTTGTAAGAGAAGAGTATTTTTCAGGTTTTAAAGCATGTACCGAACTAACTTTCCGTTAGACAATAGACTAGATTATAGAATACACTATAGACTAATTCATAGACTACACTATATAATAGACTATATACTAGACTATAGACTAGAGTATGGACTTGACTGTAGACAAGAGCATAGAGTAGACTATAGACTAGACTATAGACTAGACTATAGACTAGACTATAGACTAGACTATAGACTAGACTATAGACTAGACTATAGACTAGACTACAGACTAGACTATAGACTAGACTATAGACTAGACTACAGACTAGACTATAGACTAGACTATAGACTAGACTATAGACTAGACTATAGACTAGACTATAGACTAGACTATAGACTAGACTATAGACTAGACTATAGACTAGACTATAGACTAGACTATAGACTAGACTATAGACTAGACTATAGACTAGACTATAGACTAGACTATAGACTAGACTATAGACTAGACTAGACTAGACTATAGACTAGACTATAGACTACAACTGTTCTGTTGACTACTATGCGTACTATTTACCAAAAGTTTATAAGTTAGAAAAAGAACCGAAAGTATCGAAAAGTACTAAAGTACTGAATTTTCCATGCCTGGACTTTCTGCAGTAGCTGTCGTAACGTGATCTTATGAATTTCTATTAACAACTTTTACTAAGATATTTCAGTTTTCGATCTTGTAGAGCGGACATTCACATAAAAAGTTTTGCTCGATTCTTTCGGCTAAAACCTTTATGCATTCGCGATCTGATGAATTTCAATCAGGGGCCAGGATAATCAAGGACCTAGAAAGAAAGAACATTTTGGATATTCTTCTAGTGATAACAGTGGACCACTATTGACGATTTTTTAGTAGCAAATTCGTCGATAATGTTATTGGCTATTTGTTAATAATTTTATTTGCTCCGATACCTTCATGAATTTTATAAATAAATTCAATTGAGATACATTTCTATATTGATACGTTTGACGTTAGAGTCTTGATAAATGCAACACTGTCTACGTAAGTATATACATATGCATATGTTATTGGCTATTTAGTGGCGGTTCTAACAGGGAAACTTTTTTGGGAAACTTTTGATTTTGTGTATGGGGGAAAAAGAAGGTTTATATTTCGTTCTCTTTTTCTCACACACAAAATAAAAAGTTTCTCTGTTAAAACCGGCAATTAGTTCTCGAATGTTTCTCGCCGCCATATAATTACGTAAATGTCAGCCTGCCAGTGCAGACGTTAGGTAATTCGATGGAGATTAAGTCCCCATGTAGGTGACCAACGTTTTTCAGCACGAATATCACTTCAAATTAATATTGGAAATGTCATTTAAGTGATGCAAACATGAGACCAGAATTTTTGTTTTGATGTCAAAGTATGGGTACTTTTTACAACATAGAACATTTTACAATTCTGGTAGATTCATTAATTTTCTATTTTTCTTTTGAAGAAACATTCAAGAATTCTAGTAAAACTTTTCAAACACCAAAACACTGTTTTCCAATTAAGTCCACAATTGCATAATACTTACAAAATTCCATTTATAAATCTTAATACTGCTATCATTATGAAATTAAAGGAAAAACTCGATATGAGTGTAACCAAGAAAGCCAACAGCAAAGCAGGTCTCATAGTCTCCTTGCGTCCTTTGGTATCTGCTAAAAATCCCCATAAATGGGAACTGAAAATTATGCCCAAAAAGCACACTGCTCCCAAGATGCCTTGCTCTCGATAGGTTAAATCTAAATCACAGGCAATAACCGGCAAAGCAAAACTAATGCCCACCGATTCCAAAATCACATTATTCAATACCAGGCCCGAAAATATTATAAGTTGTATATTATATTTTCCATAATCTATAAAATAAAGAAAAATTTTTGAAATTTTAATTTCTTAAAGGTTATTAGAATATTTTGAATATTTACGTGTCTTTTCCAGAGCTTCATCAATGCTGGCAATTACAATAGGTTCATCTTCTATAGGCTTCTTTTCCATACTTCCCTCAATAGTGGCAATTGTGGTCAGTTCTGTGGGTTTTACCATGGTTATTGTTAAATTTTCGTAAATAGAGTTTTATACGTGTAAGAAGCAGTACAATTTTTTTAATCCACTTCTATCATTAATCCATTGTCAGACGTAAGTGAATGATCATTTCTTTCTAAATGCGCAAATTTCTTTTTAACTATTTATATCCGCAGACTTGTTTTAGTCTGTGTACTATTTTTGAATGTTTGTTATCATTACTGTTCTTATTTAGATGATGTTTAAATTATCTCTTTATATCAATATACATAATTCCTAAGCAAATAACATCTGCTGATCGTCTACACACGATATAGATTGTAATCAACTTAATTCATATTTACTTTTGACTGTACTTTTATCGAATTTAAATAAAACTTTCCTCTAGCGCACACAGGGAGTTAATTTTTGAAGTGTTATTATTTATGTATATTATGGGAATATTGTTGGAATTCTTTTTCATCATTGGTCCAGAAGATTAGAAATGTTTCATAGGTCAAAATTTTGACACCGAAATCTCAATACATTTGTTAATAGAAGTAAAGAAGTTCTTTTGTCTGTTTCGTCCATTCAGTGGCCGCAGAAAAGTTGTTACTGCTCCTCGGGGCAAACTTTGGTTATTCGTTAAAGGTGGAAAGGATAATGCTAGTAGATAAGAAGACAAGGTACTCATTGCTGACAATAGGGTATCCAACTCTATTGATTCACTAGAAAATTTCTGCAACAAACACTACTCTCTCTATCCTCTCTTCCACATCCTTTTTTCCTAGTTCCAACATAATGCATTGCATGAATAGGGGTTATCCCCTGAGTGCTGGTCCAAGAATGCGTCATTGTTAATGAAAACACCTTAAGCAAGATAAGCTAGTCCTTTTCACGAAGCTAGATTTGTTTTCTTTGATTACCTTCATCTATGAAAAACGGTTTCTACAATATAAACAACCAAATGTTATTTTTAAAGATAACAGAATGCTTGTGCATTGTTTGGGCATTTAACACCACTTCCGGTGCAGGTTTACACATACTTTATTAGCGCCCTCTATTAAATAATATAATTATTAAATATTTTAGTACACAATTGTGTTTACTCATTAGATGACGCTGTAGAATTAAGATTATTTTTTCTTCAAACTAAATATCTTAGAGATGATAGTTATATCGATAACTAATGAGTAAGACATTGAAAAAAATACGATAACGCTGTTGATAACATGAAATGTTAAAGAGAAAATAAAACGTTTTTATTAGTTTTAACCATGATACAATAATCAGATATGTATATGTATCACTACAACAATACAAAAAACAACAGGCTTTTGCATTGTTATTCCCATCTTCTTCCATAATTTTTGATTTTTTGAGTAATGACGGTGAAAATTAACATAACTCAGACATTTGTCCAATTCACAACCCTTTTGTATTTACGTATCGTGTGTATATTTGTATTAGTTTACACTGTAAAAATGTTGCTGATAATTTCCATTAAAAAAACTCATATAACTTTACGTTTGTTTTTCATTTGTTTATTTATTTCGTATTCAATGTCAAACTATCATTCTCCTATGAATGCCCAGCTTCTAAGAAGATTAAACAGAAGTAGAATTATTTCATAAAGTAAACATTCAAAAAAGTGCTTTAAAGTGAAATAAATTGTCAAAAAATTCATATAAGTGCGTTAATTTATTTAGTTTTTCATTTTAATTGTATTTTTTATAAATATTGAAGATGTTTTTTCTTTATATTTACAACGTGGCTTTCTACAATGTAAATATACAATTGGCTGTTCGCAAGCAGATATCGGAATTCTGTATTTTAATAAACGATATAAGAAACAATACGAGTTGTGTCTGTTCAACTGATGGAAACCATACAATAGTCTCGATATAACCTGGTGGTGGAGACCATTTAAATATAAAACTGGTGGAGACCAAGGAATACTTCTGATAATTTTCTGTTTGATGCTCAAAATTCCTATAAGGAGGTCGGTGGGGTTTCTCCGGGCCAAAATATATGTATGTAGTTACCCGGCACTTACTTAATTTTAGTGATTCTGACGAACTAACGAACTATATTTAGGTAGGAATTAGCAGCATAGTTAAAGTATGGGATCGTATATAATGATTTGTTAAAAATGTTTTCAAAGAAGATTTCTGGTCTTTCCTGAGATATCCGCATATTGAAAAACCCACTAGAGGTGCAAATGGATTCAGGGAATATATTCATTATTGGCATAGATAAAAAACTCCAATAGCAAAATATAACATAAATATAGACGGACTACCATTACCGAAGAGTTCAAATTTACTGATCCATTTATATGCGACGCCTCTGCCAGATTATTGGTACCCGATATTAAAGACCTCATAGGCTAAACTAATAAAAAAGAGCCAAATTAGAACGCTATGAACACCCAAATCGTAACTGAATTCTTGACAAAATGTACATAGAGAAACTTCCTATCGATATTTTGAAAAGTTTTCCTTCCGATTACATGCATGTTATTTGTTTAGGAGTAGTAAAATCAATGATTTTAGCGTAAATTAAATGTCGTAATCAAAACTTTAAAAAATCAGATCGCAAATAATTTACAAGAAATACCCGAAGTATTCAGGAGGTAGAAAGGTTTAAAGCAACAGAATTTAGAACATTTTTACTATATACTGGGATTTTTGCATTTGAATATACCATGGTAAAAATAAAGAAGGTAGTGTCATTCTCTCTATATTTTTTAAAATTCTATATCTGACATGCTTAAGGATTTTGACGCTTTCAAAAAAATAGTAATACCATATTAATTTAAAATTTTACCATATATTTGAAGTTTAAGAAAAAATTTAATACATAATTTTCATTCATTTGGAAAATATTGAAAAATATAAAAACGTTTACTTTTAAATTGGAATTAAAGGGAAGATCTTAATTTTCAAATATTAAAAAGCTAATTTGTGAACATTATTTTAAGAATAACCAAGAATGAGTTGCATTTTCCCCAACTGCGAAAATACCAAATATTTTTGCAAAAATTTAAGCATACATTTTTTTAAAGTCCCTACATTACCCAACAAACGACAACAATGGCTAGATATATGTAAAATTTCCGAAGAAGATTTGCCAAAAGAGCCAATGGTATGCTCCGACCATTTCCTTAAAAGTAATATTTCAGTTAATGCAAAACGTGTAAGATTGGATAGAAATGCTGTGCCAATGACCACAAGGTAACTTTAAAATACTAATTGATCTGCAAACATTGAGTTTTGAGGTATGTATATACATATCTCCGATCACAATCGAATTTTTTTTGGAAATAAATCTGAAATTTCTAAACTGCTAGTCCGATCGGGATAAAAATTGACCTAGACGTAGCCACGGAGAATTCAAGTTAAAGATTTGAAATGTTAGGCCAATATCTCTATGTTCCGTTCCTGTCTCACATTTTATTTAAGTTCAATTACAAAAAGTACAACATTTCTTAAAGGAAGAAGATTTATTTCTAAAAAATCGATTCTGTCCCTCTAACAGTGGTATAGTTTATTAATGTTAAGTATTTTAGTGAGTTGAATGATGTTATTGGCAATGAACATTATGAAGAGTATCTGGAAGAATATATCAAAGAACGAGACGAATATTTGGAAGGGTGGGTAGATAACTATAGAATAGTTTTATATACTAATAAATAAACTCTATGATTTAGAAGTCGTAAAATAAAAGACGAAGGTATATCCCAAAAAGTTGTAAGGAAGAGTTACACTAGTGTTAGTACTCAAACTGTGTAAGTAGTTCTGAATTAAATAGTACAAAATATTAGCATAGTGGTTATTATGTTTTTAATACTTCACCAAGTCCGTCCTCATGGAAGCTATATGTCCACGAAATAGTTGTGTTCTAAGTTACTTTTAATTTGGTAATTTGGTACACATACCATAATTCTACATATATCTTCTTCATTTAAATCCCTTTAAATTTAATCATATTTCGGGCATGTCCGATTATAGTTATCTACTTGTTTTATATTTGTTATATGAACTTGCATCGTATTATATAGCATTTCACTTCAAGATTACCAATTAGAAATTGATAAGCAAGTATCTAACTTAAAAGAAAAAATAGCAAGTTTAGAATTTCAACTGAATACAATCAAAAATAGTGAAGCAATACCAAAATTAAATCAATCCAAAAGTTTGTCTATTCCTCCGAAAGTACCTCGCTATACATTAGAAGACATTTCCTTTGCAACTTCTCTTTATTCAGCAGGCCCACGAAGCTACAAATTTCTGCGAAAAAATAATTACCCATTGCCATCGCCATCAACACTTCGCAGGTGGGCAACAAAACTAAGCGTTGAGCCAGGTATTCAGGTCCAAACTTTGTCTCATATGGGGTCATTTGAACTAGGTGTCGAAGAAAAACTATGTGTTATTTGCTTCGATGAAATGAAGTGCCGAGAAGAGTGGGCCTATGATAGGAAAAAAGATATTATCATACCTCCTAAAAGAATGGTTCAAGTAGCAATGGTTCGTGGGTTACGTGGGAATTGGAAACAACCCATATTTTATGATTTTGATTTCAAAATGCAAAAAAGCACACTGTTAAAAATAATTTCGGAGTTATACCAAATTGGCTTCACGGTAGTAGCAGCTGTCAGCGATTTGGGCCCTGAGAACCAACAACTTTGGAAATCAATGGATATATCCGCAAATAAAAGCTATTTTAAACATCCTTCCGACGAAAACAAATTGATTTTCGTTTTCGCTGACGTCCCTCACCTAATAAAACTGTTGCTAAATCATTTTGTAGACGACGGATACCTTTTTGGAAATACTCGTTTAACAAAAACCATAATAGAAGAACTCATTTCATTATGCGAGTTTGACTTAAATATTTCAAAAAATTTGTCACTTGAAATGTTAAACGTAAAAGGCGCAGGTATGTATATAGTGTGTTCTACAAGGTCTTGCTATGGTCATTTTAAAAATTTCAAAATAGGGAGAAATTAAAAACAAATATTGTCAAAATAATTTCTTTTTATTCTACAGCCAGACAAAAAGTAAAAACTGCTACAAAGCTGTTTTCTCACACCACAGCAACTGCCCTAAAGCGTTGTGCACAACTAGGTTTATGTCGGGACAACCAAA